ACCCTGCCCAGGCATAGCAGGCCTGCAACCCGCCCACGGCACCCACCAGCCAGCCCAGGCCAAGTCTTCCCACTCCAGGACACCCTGGCCCAGAGCGCATCCCTCCTCTAATGCCGCCTGCAGTGACCTCAGGGCCTCTGCTCCAGGCTCCTCCACGCCTCTCCTCTGAGCACGCCGGGAGGGCAAGGCGCCCAGGAAGGACTATGCAGAGGCCCCGAGGCCGAAGGCAGCCAGGGCCTGCCGGGCACAGGCAGCGGGCTCGGGCCGTCAGAGGACAGGTGGGGCAGCCCGGTGAGGTGGGCAGGAGCGGTGGGCGACGGGAGGGCGGCAGAGGAGGGAAATCCTCCCAGAGGAGCAGATGCAAGACAGAGAAGGGGCTCCCAGAACCTCAGAAGGTGAGGGCGGGCGCGATGGAGGAGAGCCCTGCCACCCAGGCCCGCGGCGCTCACCGATCAGCGTCTTCAGGCACTGGCCGGAGGCGGTGTCCCAGATCCGGCTGCAAAGCAAAACGAGTTGTGAGGAAGCAAGTCACGCAGGCGGCCTGCGGGTTCTCAAACAGCTTCAGAGGGAACGCGCTTCCCCGCGCTGTCCCGCTCACTCGGCCCCTGAAGCTTCTCTCGCACGTTCCAGGGACCGGACGGGGCGCTGCACCCGCCACGGACCCGGGTGCTCTAGCTCCTCTTCCGCAGCAGCCATCACAGGCAACCACCAGGCAGCAGCGGCTCCCCGCCGCCCACAGCGGGGTCTCCCGCACAGGCACCGGCTGGCCCACCAAGCCCTCCCGCTCTGGCACCGTCCACGCGGCACGCTCCTGCCAGCACCGAGGGCGTCACTGCCTCCCTCCCCGGTGGACGTTCCATCTTTAAGTCCCACAGCCTCCATGTCCCCTTGGCTTCCCACCCGCTCGACACCCTTCCCCATCCCTCCTGTCAGGCCTGCAGTGGCCACTCTGTGAGGTGTTTCCGGAAGAGGACGAAGGGTCAGAGGGTTTTAACCCCAAACCGACAGCCTCCTCCCAACACCCAGATGCGCTGCGCCGTGGCCCCCCACACCCGCCCTGGTGCTCACTGAGTTCATCTAAACCAGCCGTCGCCACCGCTGGTCCGTGAGGTCGGCGACACTGACCGAAACCACCACATGTGCATCTTCCCTCCTGCGCCTCCAGCCCTGCACACGGGCCTCACACTCCCACGCTCCACGACCACGATCCCGAGACTGCACCCATGGTCTGCCACCACCGTCCCCCTGCCACCACCCTCTGCCGCCTGCAGTGGGCTGTCTGTAGTCACCGCTCGGGACTGACAGCCTCGTGGACGCCAGGCAGGCTGGCTCCGACTCCTCACCGTGAGCCGGGCCTTCCCCGCCCAAGGCCCGGGTGCCTGGCCGGCCCATGTCAGTGTCCACAGGCACTCAGTCTGATCCAGGCCTCGCGGGGAGGCACCCTCCCGCCACACACATCGGCCGTGGGCCTCGCAGCACCCCGCCCCCCGAGGCTGTACTGGGTGTCCACCCGTCCGCAGCCCTCGCTGCTCCGGAGGGCAGAGCCCGCGGGCTTCCCGCTGCTGCCGCCGAGGGCCACGGCTCACAAGCACACGTCACCAAGGGGAGGGAGCGCCTCCACTCACCAGAGCCCGTCGTAGCTGCTGGACACGATCAGGGACCCGTCGCGGTTGAAGTGAACCTGCGGGGAGGGGGAGGGAGACTTGACACCAGCAACACGGGCTTCTTCCCACAGCCCCACCGAGCACGGGACCAGACTCTGTGCTGCCTCCGTGCTGGCTCCTGAGCCGCCTGCCCCGAGTGCGGGACCAGCCTCTGTGCTGCCCATGCTTGCTCCTGAGCCGCCTGCCCCGAGTGTGGGACCAGCCTCTGTGCTGCCCGTGCTGGCTCCTGGACCGCCCCCCACCGGCGGGCAGAGGGCCGCTTTCCCCTGGGGCCTCTCAAGCGAGTTTCATGGAGGAGCCACAGAAAGACCAGCCTGCAGTCCGCCTGGAGGAGGGAATCGCTTACTAGGAAACGGACTGAAAGTAAACCCATGGCCACAGGAGCCCACTCCTGAGGGCCTGTCCTGTCCGGCGATCCGGCCTCCAGTCCTCACTGTCGCCCCTCACACCCGTGAAGGCAGCCTGACCCAACGTCGCCAAAAATGACTTCCCTTGACATTGCTTTACAAAAGCAAAAAAACCCAGGGGGGAACCCCCGATTCAGCAGCCTCCTAAGAATGGACGCTGGTGGCTTCTCACCCAGGTGCCCGCCCACGGCCATCCGAGCGCCAGTCCCCGCCACCGCACCACTGCTCCAGGCCCCGGGCAGCGACACCACACCCGGGCTGCCTGAGTGGCCTGGCGCTGCAGAGGGCACAGGAAGGAGACCCAGGCGGCCCCAGGCTGACGGCAGTCCGGCCCCCAGTGACCTGATCTGAAAGTCTAGCTCTGATGGGGGAGGGGACACACCTTCCCACAAATACGTTCCAACCCGACACGTCCCTTTCCTGTAACGGGTTCACCTCTGGGGTTCTCCTCCTTTGCCCCAATTGAATCTCAGTGCCAAAGGGTCACCATGTCCGAGGGAGAGTTCACACGCATCCCTGTTCTTTCTGTTGAGTCCTGAGCCGGCGTTACCCAGGATGAGCCTTCTTACAACAAATACCACCTTCTGACAGGCTGTCTTCCTTCCTGCTACGGACCCGCTCCCGGGTGAGACGGAGGCGCAGGGCAGCCCTGGGGCCGTGCTCTGAATGGAGCCATCGACCCTGTGTGCAGTGTGACTACACTGCTGTGCACCCGCTGGCCCCTGCAGACGGCAGGGCTCGGACCCCACGGAGCAGGATGGGCGCTCTCGGGCCCCCCCCACACCGTTCTCACAACCGGGGATTCTCACCGCAACTGGGACGTCCCACCCGCCTCCAGCCACCACCCACTGCTCAGAGCTATTGGCTCCACTCCAAACTCACACTGTGCCCTGGTCACACTTCCCAGGTCTGAACGCCCCGACCGGAAGGTTCCGTTTGGGGACACCACTCCCCCACACTACAGCCACCTGCCCTCCCATGGACTGAGATTCTACGGGTCACCATCCACACTGCAGGTGTCGGTGGAGACTGGAGCTCCCAGGTCAGTGTGACTTACAGCGGAGACGGGGTCCGAGTGCGCAGGCAGGGTCTTGAGGCACTTCCCTGTCTTCACATCCCAGATCCTCACGCTCTCATCAAACTGCAGACAAAGGAGAGTCCCAGGCCACTCACAGGGAGGACAGGAGCGGACAGACCTTCGGGACCCAAAACTGCCCCCAGCCCCCCAGCAGGTCACTTCTGTGCCCCACCCCCACCCGGAAGAGGCCAGCACAGCACACTTACGGAGCCTGAGACAATGAGGTTGGACTGCGGGTTGAAGTTACAGCAGAAGACATAATTACTGTGTCCCTTCAGGGTTTTCAGACACTTTCCCTGCAATGAAATATTGACAGACGATCATTCCCGCGACTGACACTGACGGCGGCGCCAA